ATGGGTGTTGCTGCTGAGTTTTATGAGTCTATATATTTGAAATTAAACCTTGTCGGAGCTACTCTTGCAAACGTCCTCTCTCCCCCCCCTGCGCGCTGAGCCGATGCGGGAGTGTGCGCGTGGCCGTCCCAGTGGTCCCAGCGGAGGACAGGAAGGGGCTTGGTGGACGGGCATCCCAAGGGGCTCATGAAGTTGGGTGTTGTGTCCCTGCCTCAGGGTGAGGGCTCAGGGTCCTGTGAGCAGCGGAGCCTGGACAGGGGGAGGGGGTGCGGGTTGGGGGCTTCAGTCCATGTCCCGGGGCAGAGACCGGAGCTGCTTGAGTCCCCCAGGGGTTGCTCTAGCGTCCGCCTGGGTCTGCTGCCCTACAATGATGACCTGGCCACATGGGCACTAGACGGGCAAGTCTCAAACGTGTGACACATGATCGGGCAGGCTGTGGGGCGTGAGCCCGCCCACGGCGCCCGCATGGGGTCCCCACGCGGAGGGCCACGTGGCTGGACAAGACGAACCGTGATCCTGCCTCTCCGGGGGTCGGGCTGCGGGACAGCAGGGTCCGAATTAACACTGAGGGGTGTCCAGAGTGGCAGTGGGGGAGGGGTCACATAAGCCACAGGATTTGGGGAGAGGCTGTGCATCTAAGAAGACTGCAGAGCCCAGCCAGTGTGGCTCAGTGGTTGGGTATCAACCTGTGAACCAGGAGGTCACTGTCCGATTCCTGGTCAGGACACATGCCCAGGTTTGGGGCTCAATCCCCAGTAGGGGGTGTGCAGGAGGCAGCCGATCAATGATTCTCTTCCATCATTGATGTTTCTATCTCTCTCTCCCTGTCCCTTCCTCTCTGAAATCAATAAAAATATACTAAAAAACAAAAAGAAAGAAAGAAAGCAGAGAAGTCCGCTGCGTCAGTGTCCGTGGGAGAGGAGCCCCTCTGGTGCCCCAGAGCCTGGCTGAGTGACAGGGTGTTTTGAAACCTCCAAGCTCTATTAGCAAAAGGCCATGAAATTCGGCTGCTCCCCGTTCTGAGCGGAGGGGGACAGACTGTCACATGACACAGTCACTTCTGTGCGGATCTGAAAGCGGCTTTTACTTGATTGTCTTTGGGCTACAGCTCAGAAGGGCTCATGGGAAATACAGAGGAATAATTAAAACGATAAGCTTGTCTCGGGCCAGGTACCACACAGAGACCAGCACATGCCGCTGCAGAGAGGGGGCGAGGGGCGGGGCCAGGCAGCAGTGAGAGAATGGACTGGGGGCCCCCAGCCCCAGGAGCCTCCCCAGACGCCTGGCCCGCTCCAGGCACCTCGGGAGGCCAAGACCCGGCCTGCTCTTGGATGTATTTTAAGATAAACAGGAAGAAATATCTGAGCAGAAAAAACATTGAAAGAACAAAATTTCTAAGCAGCAGGCTGGGTCCTTGCAGGGAGCATGATTACTGCTAATCGAAGAACATCAAATTTACCCAGGAGAACAGACCAGACGAGCACTGCAGGCAAAGGCAGGCCAGGGCCCGCCCGCCTGAGGGGCTCCGGTTCTGGGTGCACTGGACCCTCTCTCTCTGTTTTCGTGTTGGTCCTTGGCAGGAGCGAGGATGAGTACCAGCTTATCATTGGCTTAAAGACTGTACCCAAGCAACCTGCCCCTTTAACCTCATCCCCCATTCCACCAGCCAGCTCCTTGCCCCCGGGCGCTGCTGGGCAGGTCTGCCCAGGATGGGAGAACGGGAGCCGCTGGCAAACTGGAGGGTCCTCTTCCCCAGGGACCCAGAGGCCTGCTCTGGGGGTGGAGGGTGCAGGACCAGGGGCCCTGGCTTTCCCCAGAAGCCAGAGGCAGAGAGAGGGGCCCTGTCCAGCCTTGGCCTGGGCCTTGGTGGCGCGGGTAATGCTGGGAAGAACATGGGAAGAGGCATCCACTTACTTTTCATGTGGGTGGTAACAGACAGAAACAAATTTTCCACGGACTTATTAAATCCTTTAAACTGACCAAGTTCCTGTAACTAAAACAGAGACAGAAGGAGAGAGAGTGAGTTATGTTTGAAGACCTGTACGGCCCCAGCAGCCTCCCGGCTGCCAACCCCCAAACGCCGGCAGGTGTGTGCTGTGGGTGCTCGGTGGGTGTGGGTGCTCGGTGGGTGTGGGAGTGGGTGCCTGGTGCATGCAGGTGTGGGTGCTCGGTGGGTGTGGGTGCTCGGTGTGTGCGGGAGTGGGTGCCTGGTCCATGCAGGTGTGGGTGCTCGGTGGGTGTGGGTGCTTTGTGGGTGTGGGTGCTCGGTGGGTGTGGGTGCTTGGTGGGAGTGGGTGCCTGATGCATGCAGGTGTGGGTGCTCGGTGGGTGTGGGTGCTTGGTGTGAGTGGGTGCCTGATGCATGCAGGTGTGGGTGCTCGGTGGGTGTGGGAGTGGGTGCCTGGTGCATGCAGGTGTGGGTGCTCGGTGGGTGTGGGAGTGGGTGCCTGGTGCATGCAGGTGTGGGTGCTTGGTGGGTGTGGGTGCTCGGTGGGTGTGGGAGTGGGTGCCTGGTCCATGCAGGTGTGGGTGCTCGGTGGGTGCGGGAGTGGGTGCCTGATGCATGCAGGTGTGGGTGCCTGGTGTGTGCGGGAGTGGGTGCATGCATGTCTGGAGTGGAGAGGGCACTGTCCTCCTGAGGGACAGGTATCCTCTTTACTCAGCTTCTCTCTGAGTTTTGACACCACATTAAAGGAAGGAGCATGATTGAGATGATTGAGAGGTTGTTGACAAGGTAACAATGACTTCTACGAAATACCGCCTGACATTTCATTGGCTTAAAGATTGTACCCAAGTAACCTGCTCCTTTAACCTCATGCCCACT